ATTTTTTGACCCGGTCATTTCGTGTTGTTTTGTGTTCGGTTATGACCTACGGACCACAACATTACTCTGTAGGTTGACAAATGGCACGTTAAACCCATTTTTAAGCTTAAAAAATCAGTGAAAATTAAAACTTATAAACGCTAAGAAAATGATGTTGAACAAGGTTAAATCAAACATAATCGGCATTTCTAGGGTCCCTAGGTAAAATAAGGCAAGAATAAACAGGAAAACAGTAGGTTAAAAATTGGCCAATTTTCGTTAAAACACAAAGGGTATAGCTCACGATTTTTTAGGGACGATTTTTTGACCCAGCCATTTCGTGTTGTTTTGTGTTCTGTTAGGACGTACGGACCATAACATTACTCTGTAGGTTGGCAAATGGCACGTTAAGCTTTAAGCTTAAATAGCTTTAATTTAGATATTACTTAATACGGCCCATAAGTCCGAATCAGTGAAAATTAAAACTTATAAACGCTAAGAAAATGATGTTGAACGAGGTTAAATCAAACATAATCGGTATTTCTAGGGTCCCTAGGTAAAATAAGGCAAAGATAAACAGGAAAACAGTTAAGTGAAAAATTGGCCAATTTTCGTTAAAACACAAAGGGTATAGCTCACGATTTTTTTAGGGACGATTTTTTGACCAAGCCATTTCGTGTTGTTTTGTGTTCTGTTAGGACCTACGGACCACAACATTACCTGTCTCTTATACACATCTAGATGTGTATAAGAGACAGCTGTTAGGACGTACGGACCATAACATTACTCTGTAGGTTGGCAAATGGCACGTTAAGCTTTAAGCTTAAATATCTTTAATTTAGATATTACTTAATACGGCCCATAAGTCCGAATCAGTGAAATTAAAACTTATAAACGCTAAGAAAATGGTGTTGAACGAAGTTAAATCAAACATAATCGGTATTTCTAGGGTCCCTAAGTAAAATAATAAAAAGATAAACAGGGAAACAGTTAGGTGAAAAATTGGCCAATTTTCGTTAAAACACAAAGGGTATAGCTCATGATTTTTTTAGGGACGATTTTTTGACCCAGCCATTTCGTGTTGTTTTGTGTTCTGTTAGGACCTACGGACCACAACATTACTCTGTAGGTTGATAAATGGCACGTTAAACCCAGCTTTAAGCTTAAAAAACTTTAATTTAGATATTACTTAATACGGCCCATAAGTCCGAATCAGTGAAAATTAAAACTTATAAACGCTAAGAATATGATGTTGAACGAAGTTAAATCAAACATAATCGGTATTTCTAGGGTCCCTAGGTAAAATAAGGCAAAGATAAACAGGGAAACAGTTAGGTGAAAAATTGGCCAATTTTCGTTAAAACACAAAGAGTATATATAGCTCATGATTTTTTTAGGGACGATTTTTTGACCCAGCCATTTCGTGTTGTTTTGTGTTCTGTTAGGACCTGCGGACCACAACATTACTCTGTAGGTTGGCAAATGGCACGTTAAACCCAGCTTTAAGCTTAAAAAACTTTAATTTAGATATTACTTAATACGGCCCATAAGTCCGAATCAGTGAAAATTAAAACTTACAAACGCTAAGAAAATGATGTTGAACGAGGTTAAATCAAACATAATCGGTATTTCTAGGGTCCCTAGGTAAAATAAGGCAAGAATAAACAGGAAAACAGTAGGTGAAAAATTGGCCAATTTTCGTTAAAACACAAAGGGTATAGCTCACGATTTTTTTAGGGACGATTTTTTGACCCAGCCATTTCGTGTTGTTTTGTGTTCTGTTAGGACCTACGGACCACAACATTACTCTGTAGGTTGACAAATGGCACGTTAAACCCAGCTTTAAGCTTAAAAAACTTTAATTTAGATATTACTTAATACGGCCCATAAGTCCGAATCAGTGAAAATTAAAACTTATAAACGCTAAGAAAATTATGTTGAACAAGGTTAAATCAAACATAATCGGTATTTCTAGGGTCCCTAGGTAAAATAAGGCAAGAATAAACAGGAAAACAGTAGGTTAAAAATTGGCCAATTTTCGTTAAAACACAAAGGGTATAGCTCACGATTTTTTAGTGACGATTTTTTTGACCCAGCCATTTCGTGTTGTTTTGTGTTTTGTTAGGACCTACGGACCACAACATTACTCTGTAGGTTGATAAATGGCACGTTAAACCCAGCTTTAAGCTTAAAAAACTTTAATTTAGATATTACTTAATACGGCCCATAAGTCCGAATCAGTGAAAATTAAAATTATAAACGCTAAGAAAATGATGTTGAACGAGGTTAAATCAAACATAATCGGTATTTCTAGGGTCCCTAGGTAAAATAAGGCAAAGATAAACAGGAAAACAGTTAGGTGAAAAATTGGCCAATTTTCGTTAAAACACAAAGGGTATATATAGCTCACGATTTTTTTAGGGACGATTTTTTGACCAAGCCATTTCGTGTTGTTTTGTGTTCTGTTAGGACCTACGCGGACCACAACATTACTCTGTAGGTTGACAAATGGCACGTTAAACCCAGCTTTAAGCTTAAAAATCTTTAATTTAGATATTACTTAATACGGCCCATAAGTCCGAATCAGTGAAATTAAAACTTATAAACGCTAAGAAAATGGTGTTGAACGAAGTTAAATCAAACATAATCGGTATTTCTAGGGTCCCTAGGTAAAATAATAAAAAGATAAACAGGGAAACAGTTAGGTGAAAAATTGGCCAATTTTCGTTAAAACACAAAGGGCTCACGATTTTTTGACCCAGCCATTTCGTGTTGTTTTGTGTTCTGTTAGGACCTACGGACCACAACATTATTCTGTAGGTTGACAAATGGCACGTTAAACCCAGCTTTAAGCTTAAAAATCTTTAATTTAGATATTACTTAATACGGCCCATAAGTCCGAATCAGTGAAATTAAAACTTATAAACGCTAACTTAATACGGCCCATAAGTCCGAATCAGTGAAAATTAAAACTTATAAACGCTAAGAAAATGATGTTGAACAAGGTTAAATCTAACATAATCGGTATTTTTAGGGTCCTTAGGTAAAATAAAGTAAGGATAAACAGGAAAACAGTTAGGTAAAAAATTGGCCAATTTTCGTTAAAACACAAAGGGTATAGCTCACGATTTTTTAGGGACGATTTTTTGACCCAGCCATTTCGTGTTGTTTTGTGTTCTGTTAGGACCTGCGGACCACAACATTACTCTGTAGGTTGACAAACGGCACGTTAAACCCAGCTTTAAGCTTAAAAATCTTTAATTTAGATATTACTTAATACGGCCCATAAGTCCGAATCAGTGAAAATTAAAACTTACAAACGCTAAGAAAATGGTGTTGAACGAAGTTAAATCAAACATAATCGGTATTTCTAGGGTCCCTAGGTAAAATAAGGCAAGAATAAACAGGGAAACAGTTAGGTGAAAAATTGGCCAATTTTCGTTAAAACACAAAGGGTATAGCTCATGATTTTTTTAGGGACGATTTTTTGACCCAGCCATTTCGTGTTGTTTTGTGTTCTGTTAGGACCTACGGAACACAAAATTACTCTGTAGGTTGGCAAATGGCACGTTAAACCCAGCTTTAAGCTTAAAAAACTTTAATTTAGATATTACTTAATACGGCCCATAAGTCCGAATCAGTGAAAATTAAAACTTATAAACGCTAAGAAAATGATGTTGAACAAGGTTAAATCTAACATAATCGGTATTTTTAGGGTCCTTAGGTAAAATAAAGTAAGGATAAACAGGAAAACAGTTAGGTAAAAAATTGGCCAATTTTCGCTAAAACACAAAGGGTATAATAGCTCACGATTTTTTAGGGACGATTTTTTGACCCAGCCATTTCGTGTTGTTTTGTGTTCTGTTAGGACCTACGGACCACAACATTACCATTTTGGCAGTTTTGTATTGAGCACCCTAGCAGTTAATGCTGAATATCCTATTATATGTATATCTTTGGTACATGTATATGTATAGGACTATTTTGTGTATAATAATACTAATAATAATATGTCGCTCTTATAACGCTTCATGCACAATGCCTCTAAGCGCTTCACATTACTACCCCGGTCATTGGATCAAACACACATACTCAGCTCCCTGGGGAGAATCCATAATATTGCAGCTAGTAATCAGTAACCATACCCCTTTACGTTTTTGCGAAAATTGGCAAAATTACCTGTTGATTCTTACCTTAAACCGATTATATTTGATTTAATTTTGTTTCTTAGCATTTTAATAGTTTAAATTTCCCTGAATCGTACAGATGAGGCTACTGCATTTGAGTATCGTCCGATTTGACTCTATATAAGTTTAGGTGGCATTTATCACCCTGCAGATTGTGCTTTTGATCCATAGGTGCCACAGAAAAAAGTAAAAGGCAGGGTCAAAAAGGTATCCGACTTTGCAATTAAAACTGGTATTACCTTCTTTTATTTATTTTAATCGCTTCACAACATCCTCACAATCACTAATGACAATATAAGCTTTGCCCTATCAGCACTCCATCGAGGGGGCCTTAAAACAGTAAGCAGGAGCAGCTGCTACTATAGAGAGCAACATGGAGTTACAGTGGAGCCCATATTAAGGGGTCACATTCGGGACCAATTGGATGGGATGTGCCCTGTCTTAAAAATTATATCTTTATTCGTTTCGTGTCCCTTTATAATAAAGTGTGCACAAGAATCGAACCAGCTAGCAGACTTTAGTTGCATTTAATCCGTAGGAGAAAATAAGAAATATTTCGAGTTTGCCGGCAATATTATTTATACAATCTCACAAAAACATGATGGTAACATTAGATGGTTTATTTACTAAAGATGAAGTAGGCAAACTATAGACCTACAATATTTTGTCTATTCAATAATGGCGTTATGGTCCGTATTATATTACATATCAGCGCATTTTGAGTGTGGATATTAAGTATTTCACATTTGTGTGATTGTATAAACAATTTACAGAAAAAATGAGGACAGAAAATATAAAATCAACGAGTATGAAAATACAACCAATAACATTCTGTTTAAGCAATGAAGAATATAAGTTTTATTCAAGTGTTTCTATACTGAAAACATAAAATCGGCATTAGAGGTATGAATTAGTACATACTATAATCAATTATAATTAGATATATTGAATCAAAATAATAACAATTTCGTTGTCAGTAGAGAAAACAATACCTGCACCGCAAACATAAATGTTACTAACATATACTATAGAGGTATTATTCCTCTATGCACAAACCTTTTATATTTAAAATTCTCTACAATAACAATGATAATAAAAAGGCATAATGATGTGGTAATTATATTCATTGGGTTCACTTGTATAAACTACGAAAGATATGCAACTTTATTTCTATGGATCTGAAACTTAAATTGTATCATGTACTGGTGTCTATTCTATTATTCAATTGTAATAACTGCTCCTAAAGCTATCATGAAGAAAAGTGATACCTGTCAAAGGACCCACTTAAGAAAAATACATACATGTATAATATCCCAAACGGATACTTTGAGCGTTATACCTTTACCTTAAAGAATTAGTAAGTCGAGGTGGTATGTGCTTAGTCTTATACTTTATATGAGCGAGGATACCTCTTCATATACTGCTTTCGTATTTGCATCATGCAGAAATTGACAGCAATAGAAATATGTACCAAATGATATTTTGATTCTTTGCAGGGTTTATTATTAGATTGTTGAAATTCTACATATTTGGGAATTTAATATATTAATTTTATATATAGGTGAAACGATGAAAACGGTGAATCTCCATGAACCGTTACTTAAGTTTCGATTGATTGGAGTAGAAATTGTGTGCGAATACATTAAAAAATGTTCAAAATGTAGTCTTAATAATGATTGATCTATAAGCAGATATTAATGGATACCTTATTGTATGTAATTTCTTATTTTTCTCACTGAACACACAGAGTAACTGTAATAGGCCTACAAGGCAAAATCATTAACCAAACTGCTTATCATTATAACTCCATTAAACAATCCAATTATTAATCTTAGGCGTTTGACTCCTTGCGTCCTCGCGTCCATTCGCTCCATCACCATCAATTCCGAATGGAAGTGGAGAAACTTGGTTTCTTGCAGCACTATTAGGCCGGTTTGGCTCCTGTGGGCTTTCCTCAGAGGATGCAAATAACTTCGGCATAAATTCATCTTCAGCAAGAAGACTACTGATCGAGTGATTCAAGTCGAGGTTTGCCGGTATATCATCTGTTGTTGGTATATCACCATCAGTTACTGAACCTTCTTCCGAGTCATATGTACCATCTTCCTCTGCATCAGGGATATCTACGGTGCCATTTTGAAGAGGAGTTTCAATATTTTGTGTATCTTCAATACTGTTAGCCACGAATGTATCCATCTCAACATGGCTGCAGCATAGAAAAAAGAATACATATTTAATCATCTTTAACTCTACAATGCTAGATCATAAATTTGTCACGCATTTAGCACAAGCCTATGCGTGATCACGAATTATCACGAATTCATTGGAAAATGTATTTAAAATTAGAAAAAATTTGAGTCATTAGAGAGCTTTCGTTATCTCATTCGAGAATAAATTCACTGACAAAATTTCTCTTTCTCTACCAAAACCCAGCCAACCACGCACTAGAATCTATGAGGCGCAGACGGTCTTGCGAGTAATTCCCACAACTGTTGATTATGTGAATAAAAGGCGGGGTTTTACCACACCGGGGTCCGCCCCCCAGTCAACTGGTGTAGTCACGCATTTCAAATCTCTGAGGTTGGTAAGTTAAATAATTAAAGATGCTAAATCTCTTAGAAAATTCAAACAGGATCTTCCATTAAAGCCTATGCATAATTACTTTAGAATGATTTTTACATATTATTATCATCATTTAATAGTACATCAGTTTGTATTTTATTTATTTTTTTTTTTAGGTTAGGTTGGTTTCTTTGGTGTTTCCTTTTCATTCATTTACAATTTACTATTACTTTAATTTGAATTGATATTAACATCTACTTTATATAAATATAATTACATTTGATAATTAATATTTTAATATTGAATTATAGTATTACTTACTTTGATATATCCGGTGCTGGTGTGTTTTCGTCACCCTCTAGATTTTCCGAAATGTGAATTTTACTATTGGAGTTTGGTCAAAGAGAAGTAAAAAAAAAAAATCCATTACTGTTAAAAATCATCTCAATTATACAGACATACGTTTTCATAAATGGAAATATTATAATATATAACAACCTACACATAATGATAATTCATTAGATGGTCTTAACTATAATAAATAATCATAATATAGATACTACTATATCATACACTAAGCATTGTTCTTACTTGTTCTTTTTTTTCCACCACCAAACAATACCTGCCAGAATTCCAAAGAAAACAGCGCCGCTCGTAAGGCTTATTAAACATATAACCCACCTGTATTTAAAATAACAATATTAAATTTGCATTTAAGAATGCATATGCATATTAAATTGGTAATTGACTTCTTGGTATTTTGTTAATTTATTATAAAATGCTTTTAAAATGCTATGCTTTTAGAAATTGTGCCTCCTTCAATACTTCTCTATTTATTTGTTACATTTCAAAGAGGATTGCAATTTAAGCTCTCTATCATTATTGTTGTTGTGTATTTATTGTCATATTTTCATACTCATAACGATAAGTATTCAACTTATATATATATATATATATTATAGATGTTCGTATGTCTTACACTTTCATATCGCAGTTTGGTTTCCCAGGTGGACAAGTGCATCGAAAGCTGCCTTGTTCGTTTATGCAAATGTACGGGCTTGTACATGGGGCGCCTACTCCGCATTCGTCAAGATCGAGTTCGCAGAAATCTCCTACCCATCCGGTAGCACATGAGCAACTGTATCCATCAAAACTATTTTTACGTCTAGGATCTTCACAGTTTGTGTCATTCACTACACCTGAAATTAATTCAAAGATGAATTGCGGTTTAAATATGAGCATTTACAGTAATATTTTTTTATTTGGCTGTGTTTTGTTTTGCCTCCTCACTTAGTTCATCATCATGGAATATAAAAAGTGCTGCCAAAGATTGATAATGAAAGACAACCAAGCTACAGAGCATGCCACGGTGGTAGGGGAGGCTGAAATTGCTTAAAAATTCAGAAAAAGTAAGAGCAAATTGAGGCTGAGGTAAAAATGTCAAATGATGAGGTTTTTATATTTAAAAAAATGAAAAACTGCTGTTCCATATTTGCAGCGGGTGTGACTATGTAATACCCGCTATAACACAGTTAATTCATACAAATTTGTAAAGTTTCCATGTTTGAAAAGTTTGTAAAAATAAGACCAAATAGACCTAGGCCTACTTGGCTAAGTACATTTTGAGCCTGGATCGGTCAAAAATAAGAACACTGAGCCTGTCCAAAAATTTTATTTAAAAAAAAAGTGTATCGAGCCGGCCCACGGCGGAATTCAATCATTAATCCACTTTACGGCGGTGGGCGCGATAACCCCGGGCCGAATTGCCGTCGTCGGCGTAAAGTGCCTAGGCCTGTGGTGACCAGGACCAACCTGCTGGCAAGGACTGTGGTAGTCCTACCCTAATTGCTAAGCATAGTGAAAGTCAGGGAGGTATGGCTATAACTGTACTTATTTGTACGAAGGAAACATCTTAACTTTGAGGTAGGCTTAGGTACTACACCAAAACAAAAACTAGTCCTAGTCTACGACTGTAACTAAGCGTGTATGTGGTTCGAGAAAACGTTTTGCTGGAATACCACCACCTTTTATACCTTTCATTTTATTTTTATTAATATATTTTTAATTTTTAATTTTTTATACTTTTTATTTATCCTTTTTTTCTCTCTTTAGATAGAATGTAAAACCGCCCTCTACTAATTGTGAATAATTAATAAAATATATTTGCATATATCTAATTTGAATATTTTTATAATCTTTTATTGATTTTTTCAAATAAAACGGACAATTATTTTGAAAATTTAATAAAAACTTTAAATATATATTTATTAATAACAATTATTTCAATATTTAAGGTTTTCCCACTTTAAAAAATGAGCTTGAATTAATTTGACACCATGACCATGCGTAATGTTGACCCACGGCTGTATATATATGAATATGTTTTTTTAATTAGGTTACCTGCCTCTTTTCTCGAACGGATTCCGATCTAGTTTACAT